TGGGATGGGGTTTGGGGGCGTGGGACAGGGACAGTATGGGGCAGGGTTGGTGGTGTGGGAAGGGGACGGCGTGGGGCAGAGGAGGGGGTGTGGGATGTGGGAGCTATGTTTGCCTCCACCAGATCTGGCTGACGTTCTTCGAGGGGCGCTACCTCATCCTGCTCATGGGGGCCTTCTCCATCTACACCGGCTTCATCTACAATGAGTGCTTCAGCAAAGCCACCTTCTTCTTCCCCTCTGCCTGGAGCGTGGCCACCATGGCCAACCACTCCTCCTGGAGGTGGGACCCCAGTTCCCCTGCGACCACCCCCCATAGGTCCCTGCCTGGACTGACGCCCCCTTGCTCTGCCCACAGCTCTGCCTACCTCGCCACCCACCAGTTCCTCACCCTGGACCCCAACGTCACCGGCGTCTTCCAAGGACCCTATCCTTTCGGGATTGACCCTGTGAGTGTCCCGTGGGGGAGAGGAGAGGGTAGGACCTTTGGTGGGGTGGCCCAGGGTCTCACCCACCTTGTTCACGACAGATCTGGAGCTTGGCCACCAACCACCTCAACTTCCTCAACTCCTTCAAGATGAAGATGTCCGTGGTTCTGGGCATCGTGCACATGGGCTTCGGCGTCTTGCTGGGGGTCTTCAACCACATGTAAGTCTCCATGGCTGCGCCCGTGGGCTCTGCCCACCCGTGGTCACACTAAGGGGACCGGGGCTGGTGGGGTGGGTGAGTGGGGTCCCGTACTTCTACATCTGGGTGGGAGCCCAGGACACGTGAGGGCGCGCAGTGCCAGGCCGATGTCCCCTTGCCCAGGCACTTCCAGCAGCGGCACCGGCTGGTGTTGGAGTTCCTGCCCGAGATGGTTTTCCTGCTGGCGCTCTTTGGCTACCTCGTCTTCCTCATCTTCTACAAGTGGATCAAGTTCAGCGCCGCCGACTCCCTGGTGGCCCCCAGCATCCTCATCCACTTCATCGACATGTTCCTCTTCACCTCCAACGCCGGCAACCTCCCGCTCTACCGGGGGCAGGTAGCCCCCCGCAGGGATGGGGGGACACCCACCTGGGGACCCTCCTCTTTGCCGGTGCCGTGGGGATGGAGTCCCCCCTGCGTCACGAGTTGGGGCCGTTCTCAGCTCGGGTACCCGTTGCCGGGAGGGGGACCCTGAAACGATGGCCCTGTGCCGCAGGTGGCGGTGCAGACCGTGCTGGTGGTGCTGGCGCTGGCGTCGGTGCCCGTCCTGCTCCTGGGGACACCGCTCTACCTCTGCTGCCGGCGCCGCGCGCGGAGGACGGGCCACCCTGCGGTAAGGCTGGGGTGATGTTTTGGGGGAGGACGGCGGGGGGGACAACACAGCCGGGTCTCACCACCGGTGCCGTCCCCACGCAGCCGGTGGCCGCCGGGGAGCAGGAGCCGCTGCTGGAGGGGCAGGAGGCCGGCAACTCCGTCAACGCCACCAAGGAGGACGTGGAGAGCGGTGGGCACAGCCCTGACGCCGAGGTGAGGGCCGCCGGCCCGGCAGGGTGGGAGAGGTGGGGTGGAGGTGGCCGTAACCCCCACCGACGTCCCACATCTCCTCCGTCCCTGCAGCACTTTGACTTCGCCGAGGTCTTCATGCACCAGGCCATCCACACCATCGAGTACTGCCTGGGTTGCGTCTCCAACACCGCGTCCTACCTGCGGCTCTGGGCGCTCAGCCTGGCCCATGCCCGTGAGTGTTGTCCCCTTGCCGTGTCCCCTCAGCTCCCCCGGGCAGAACCTCACCCCCT